ATCCCCAGTCGGGTCGATGGATGCGCACTGCTGATGAGACCCAACCAGGTCGAAACAGCTGTCCAGTGCTTCCGAGCTTTTCAGTTCACGCTTCATTTGCCATATACACGACGAATTGTCATTTGAAACTTAACCAAATCCTCCATTACCCACATGAAATTGTCATTTACCCTAAATATGACTTGCTGTATTATATGGAGTATATTTGGCCAGCGTCTTGCAGCGATTAAATCGCGACTGTCACTAAATATTATGAGCTCCACGGTTCGTATTCCCAACAACAGAAGTTGCTGTTTTTTATGCTGGTTTACAATACATCTAAACCTTACACAAACATCGTAGTGACTGGAAAGTGGCTCAGTGTAGAAGAAGCCTTCCATATATGCAACCCTAGTGTTGTCAGTGGCGAATTCAGTTCGCTTATCGGAAATCTTGTTGGTGTCAGTGATCGCATATGACGTCGTGAGAACATCGAATACGGATATTTCTCTATTCAGAAGACGCAGCTGCCTATGCACGAGATCCTTACGCCTTATGCTCTAACTGAGTACCGCGTCGATCGTCCCGTCTCTAATACGTGATTATGGTATTATCACATACTAAAGATGCTTCATGTTATGGTAAGGAAATAAGGCACTAAATGAAAGTACAGTTGCTGCAAAAACGAGATATACTCGGGTACGCTTTCATATGAGCATTTGCCCCGAAGTGCTTCTTATTCCTTAACCAATTTGGAAAGTTCTGGGACCAAAAGATTACGGGTTTTTCATTTCAACTGATGCACTGATCTTGACCAATGTGTCTGGTTCGCATCCGTTTCATAAACCAGAGTCTATAGATCAGGCCAAAAATATTTGTGTTCTCCTCCCATTCAGAGAGTACGTTCAACACACGCGAAGAATGCGGATGGGTCTCTAACAATGCGTACAATCAATCTTGTGCAAATGAGTCACATAGCTCGAATCTGGTGGAAAGGATCCACAAAAAGCAAATGACGATTCAGATGCGTGTTCCGCATGCGCCGAAAAGATGATAAAGCGAGAGAAGCATACGGTTTAGGCAACAACCAGGCAAAATGAAATTTTTATGGGTGTGTTAGCGTAACCAAAGAGTAACACGTTACAACGTTGGACTGGTAAAAATTCTAATCTCTTCCAAACCGAGGAAAGAACAGAAAAGGTTGAAGAATTGTGTTACCAAGGCAATCACAAATGCGAATGAATCGAAACAGATATCAAGTGAGAAGAGCCACTAACCTCGCTCAAGGCCCTGAGGAAGAGCTCTGTGTCGAGTAATTTAGATTCTGTCACATCAACCCCTCTTGGTTCCGATTTCTGCGGTCCTTTTTGCATCATTTCAAACAGATCACGCCAGGCAGCACGGCCGGATTCCGCTTCGGCCTGAAGAGCCGCTGAGAATTGCGCAGCTGCAATTTGTAGTGATTTTGGTAGAGGAACGTCGTTGGATGGAACAGGCTGCATCGGTTTATGGGATGCGGGTTTGACAGATGAGGAGAACTGAGGAGCCCGCGGATCTAGTTGCTTCGAAGCAAGAGCAATGGTGGAAAGAGGACTCTGTTGTGGGGAGGAGGTCGCACATTCATTTGTTGGGTGTGCTTGTCCAAGTGTGAGTCGGGGCTGAGTAGCTGAAACTACTGTGTTTGGACAGGCAGGCGCTAAAAATTACAGTCATTAAATAAATACTCAGGGATTGAAGAATACAACGCGCACATGGATGAGAAAAGTAATTATATAATGCACAAGTTATAACTAGATAAAAGAGGAACTCAAGTCACAAAAACGTATTGGCTAGAGTTGGACACTGGTGCTTTACGGTGAAAAGCGATACAGGAGAAAAATCTTCGCAATATCAGATTCTATTGAAAAAAATCATGCGCTCTGCTCATACTATTGGGTCTGGAAATAACTGTTTAAATTAATCATAGCAAAAAAGAACCAGAAACAACAATTCCCGCGAAGACATTTTAAAACTTTTGGAGGACCTTTATGAACGACTTAAACATTCTTAACATCCCCTTGAGGGTCTAACAAAAACGACGCAGTGTTAAAATAATGAATTCTTGGCTGTTATTAATGAAAACGTATTTCCTAGGAAGGACCCTTGCATACTTCGTTTGCTGATTACATGTTAGGTGAGCTACAACAAAAGGGATAGGCTTTATAGTCAAAGATGTGTCGGAAAATAGAGACTGGAGGAACATTTATGTAAGAACCAGCTTCCAGGAAAAGATTGAGGGTCCGTGTAAAGAACAAAGGACACCACATAACACTTCACGCCTAATTGTGTCCAGACTGTCATACAGGTTACCGTACAACAATCTTTACAAGACAGTATTTGGTTTGCGATTTACTCGTAAGCGGAGTACTACCAAGTTGGGCAAACAAAAGTAGGAGAATTTTCAGAGGGATTTTATTGTCTAGTCAAAGTTTGGCTTGCGGTGTAATGTGTCAAAACCGCAGTTCATTGGAGCGGTATGAAATCATTTGGATCATACGCCCTTTGAACGTGTTTCTCATTTCCAGCCTATCCAACAAGCCTTAACGCCAAGTTCAGTTAGTGAAAATCGCGACCAAGATATCCTGAGGCCCTGCCACAAACATCAACGTCTCTGGAGAAAACAGGCTACCGTAAGGGGACCAGTAAAAACCAAAAAGCGGTTAATTTAATATGGAGCAGAATGCTTACCGGTTTGGTATACGGATTCGTTGCGCGAACCTATCAGTACAGGCCTGGATACTTCCACTCGATTGTTTGAGAATATATCAGATTTCGGAAAGACAAGATCAGCTGATTGTGACACCAACTGAAACTGCGGCGTCTGTGCGGGAGGTGGCGTGGGAGTCGCAGTANNGGGGAGCAGGTAAGTTGATGGGTTCTGGGAGCGTCTGTATAACGGTACTGAGTGGATTGTCCATTTGAATGGTGTATGGAGCAAGATTTCCATTGGTCAATCGAGACACGAGGTAAACGACAACTTTGGAACGATCTCCCAACTGGGAACAAAAAGGACAATTGAATGGAAATCACAAAGAATGGAGATGTTCTTCCAAGAGGCAATGGTGGTGAAGCAGTTAATACGGCTGCATATACTGAATGGGTTCGAATTGAAAATCTCGGAAGGGATTGGTGGATATGCATAATTTACGACCACAAGCAAGCGCCGAGGAACGCTGGGTCAATCCGCATAACTCAAATGGTTAGCATCTTTCAGAAATAACATGTCTACACAGAAGATTTTAAGAGCTTTATTTAAGATAGCTTGTTAGTCGTCCGAATACTTCGATGAAATCAAACGCGACCAAGTGAAGAGGAGAATTCGGTTTCCCCACTCCAATAGCTGTGAACTGGCTTATCTTACTATGCCATTTCAAGATAGCTTTGAGAAACTATAATTTTCATTTGCGAAACCGTCAGTTG